TTAATGTGAATTGCATGTTTAATTACTCGTCTTACTGATTACAACATATTAAGTAAATACCTAAAAATTGGGCAGTGACTTGTTGATTGATATGATGATTTAGAGGGACCATGCATCATCAGAGGACTTTCCCAGGCAAAGTTTTTCGAATTCGAATCATTTCTAGATAAATTGTGTACTCGTATAGTGAAAAAGTAAAGCAACCTGTTACAGAGATTTAATTTTGTTTTATTTTTATAGGATGGGTAGAAAAACAAAATTTTACCATACAGAGTAAAATATAAGACAAAATATCCTGAGGTCGCTTTGATAAAAATTTACTGTTGCAATAGCCCTATGTAATAGGTACCGTATGATCGAAAAAAAACGGCGTCCAGTTGGCTTGAAAATGACGATCGATGACATTTTCCATATAATTTTACATATAAAATGACAGCGATCTTCATTTCATAGCCAGCGCTGACGCCGTTTTTATTCGATCATACGGTATAATACTGCGAATTATATTACATACGGCTTAAGGCAACTGCTAAAAATTTAGAAATATTTTAAATACAAAAATGTGCGCTTTTTAAGTCTGTAGGTATCTAAAATACTAAAAATAATATACAGTGTGTATTGCATTTAAAAAAATTGAGATATAGCATTATAATATTGCAATGTTGGCCGTGCCATAAAAAAATCCCTGTATAAAATAATGTAAATTTTTCTCGGATTTCTTCTTTTGTCCTACATACCTCCCTATATACATACTTAAGCAATAATATATCAATAAGTAATAGTAAATTCACTCCAGGTTTTTACCACTTTTTAAAAAATGAAATTTTTCAAATATGAATTATCATGGAAATCCAGCATATATAGTGCTTCAAATAAATCAATAGTGTGATGTATGCTGAATTTTATGCTGAACCCAATTCTGTACAGAAAAATGGCAATGCGATTGCAACTTTAAAGAAAAATTTTTTTTAGGATATGCACTTTTTTTATATAGAACTTTTTTTCATATATTTGTCAACTACGAAGATATTGGACTTCCTCGTACAAATGGTCACCCTATATACATACTAATAAAATTTCTCTTCTAATGTGCCTCACCATCTTCTAGTGCTACGAGCTGCCCCTGGGACTCAGGTAAAGCGGGTGTGTAGCTGAAGGAAATATATATTATATTCCAGAAATCTTCCTAGGGCTTAGCCCGATTCTGGGCCCAAATTCTGGAACATTGACATAAAAACGTTACGCTTTCAAAGCGGTAAGTGAAAGTATTCAATTAGCGGAACGCCAAGCAGTAGATTTTGGTATTCTCTTTGCCCGGCGAATCGTGTTCTGGATACGCGTTGAGCACATATTGACAGCATCGCAATTTCTCGGGTATGTAACAGTCAAATGTGGGTAAAAAAAATGAAAAATATCAACGTTACGTGAAACTATACCAACCTATTTTTCTATGGATTGATGCCATTATGCCATTATTCTTATTATACGAGTGAAATGATGAAGATTCTCAGCATTTTCGATGTTTTGAACAATATTTGTAGCTGCCAAGTCGTAAATTATCAGTTACTTATTGAGGAATTTATAGAAGAATAGGTAATTTTCACTAAAAGCAAGAGAACGCACAAAATCACAATTTTTTTTACTGACAGTTCGATAAGCAAAACGATCCTTCAAGATAGCTGTTTTCAAATCACTTAGCTCAATGGGTAAAGACGCTAAGCGCATCAAATGAGACTACCAAAATCGGTAGCCAAGCGAAAATTAACGTCATATACGCTGAGCATCTAAAAGCGCTGAGCGTTTTCTAAGTTACAGAATGCGAACCTTGTCTTAAGCTTAAGCCACACCCAAAATTTTAAACACACGTGTTCTGATGAAGGCTTGATTAAGGTTTGCAGAGTTTCAGCATTTGCATAAAATAGCGGGCAATTTGTTACAAAACTATATAAATTATATATCACTGTAATCACAAAACTTCAACCTATTTCCGTATTCTATCGGAATTTTAAGTTATATCTTTATATTCGAGAAAATTTAGTCCAAACATAAGGAATATTTTGTTGATGTTTGACGATCAAAATCTTAAAAATAAAGAAGTTGTCTAAAAATGTGCTACAATACGGATATAGTATTGTATCATCCTTTATCTTTAATTTCCTTAAAAATAGCAAAGTATATAATATCGTCGGCTTTATCAAGAAAAGGCGTATCTCCATTTTTGCTACTTTTCAGGAGAGCAATTTAAAGAAAATCACTTACTTTATTTATTTGGTCAAAGTCTTTAAATATTTGGTAAAGTCTTTAATTTTTTAATAGTGTTTTTGTATTAACACTTAAACAGAGACATTGAGGAAACGTTCTGAAGATAAATTGTGCGTAAATTCTAATAAATAATTTCTTTTTAGTTATTTAATAGAGATAGGCCATTTTGTTATAATAATAATAAATTTATTTCCGAACGAATAGTAGACATAAGCCCATGTAAAATAAATTTAAAAATGATGGTAAAGTGTTCTTAATAAGGAAAAAAAAATACAATATTCACATTATGGAATACATACAAGAAAACACAATACATACATACAGAAAAAATCTGAAAATCACCAAAAAATTAGGAACAAATATATTTAAATACTTTTATTCGCGTTAGATCAACTGAAAACAAAGACAATTTTCATTCCAGAAGCAAAGACAATAATCAATTACAATACACTTATCTAGCTTATTTTAATAATATTGTTTTTTATACAAAAATACATTTTTTTAACTAATATATTTTTAGTAATTATTCAGTTAATTGAGGGCATTAATACAAGGCATTTAAACTCACGGTCCATTTAATCAAAAACAAACTAAACAAAAACAAAACATATTTCTTCATTCGTGCCTTTTTGATACAAATAACTGTGGACTAACAGTTTCTGTTTTCCCTGTTCAATGATAACAAATTCAACTTCCATTCTACGTGTTTATGCAGGATGATGATAGGCACAATAAATAAAATTTTGCAAAAATTGACAGGGATGACAATGCTAATGGTCTGACAATGATAATGAGATAAAAATTATTGTATTTTTAGGGCAAGTTTTTGGGTTCGCTAAAATGTTCTTAGGGAAATTTTAATTTCGGGAATTTTTCCATTAGGGCAATTCTCGTTTCGTTGTTTTGCTTTCGATCAATTTTTCTTCGGCCATTTATTCTCGGACAATCTTTTGCATACCCGATACAGCTATGTGCAGAGTCTAGCTCATTCTAACAATGGTTTATGGCAAAAAAAACAGACTCAAAATCACACTGTAGAATGTAGAATGTTTAGGAGGGGAGTTAATCACCGCGACCTTATAGATCTATTGTGTGATCCCCTTTCTTGAGTTATAACGAGTTATAACTCATCATACAGTCTCAGAGCCTTAAGAAAAGCCAGTATCTGAGACGTATCTCGACATCAGACGTACCAAGATTCATGGCACGAATGGTCGTCGTCTCGGCGCACTCAGTGATAAGGTGTTCTGGTGTTTCCCCATTTTCCCCACAAAATCTGCATTCGCCGTTGTTTCTCAGTTTCAGTTTACTGAGGTGTTCGTTGAGGAGACAGTGTCCTGTTAGAAACCCCGTGACAATCGGAAGATTGGTTTTACTTAAATCTAGGAAAACCTTTGATTTTTCTCGGTCATAAGTTCTAAGGAACTTTTTCGAGTGTCTTAGACGTTGGAGGACACCCATTCCAAGTTACGGATAGAGTCTTCCAGATTCTTCAGCTCCGCTTTCAGTTGGTTCCCGTTTGGAAAACAGATGGTCCAGTTAGTGGAGTGTTCGCTCCTTTTCTAGCTAGATCATTTGCTTTTTCATTGCCTTCTATCCCTTGGTGAGCAGGCACCCAGAGTAGGAGGACTTTATTTTCTTTGCCTAATTTGTTGAGCTTCTCTAGGCATTCTTTGACCAACTTCGAATTGATGGTTACTGAGTTGATCGCGTTAAGTGCTGCTTGACTATTCGAAAGGATGGCAATTTCCTGTTTTCGATAGTTCCTATCTAAGATAAATTGTACGCATCTTTCGATAGCGCAAATTTCTGCCTGAAGGATACTGGGGTAGGTGCCCATTGGTTCGGAGTATTCAGTTTTCGGCCCAAATACTCCTATCCCTGTCTCTGCTTTGGTTTTGGAAGCAGCATCAGTATACCACGTGATGGTATGGTCTTTTATATGCTGAGTAAGCGTTTCTTTCTTCCAATCCTTTTTATTACTCAATACTACAGTGAGGTGTTTCTCAAAGTTGTAAATTCTTGGTATGTCATCCACTGGGAGTTGGAGAAGTGGAATTTTCTTTTTGAGGGTGTTCCAAGCCCCTGACCTGAAAATTCTCCCAGTACTGTTTCGGTCAGTAACCATTCTAATCATTGTCGCATTGGCATAACTACCGACGACAATGTGCAGTGGTGTTAGGTCTAGAATGACCTCCATTGCTGCTGTTGGACATGTTCTCATGGCAATTGTGATGCACTGTAAAAGAGAGCTGCTGCCATGATAGAAGTTTTATTTTGTCCCAAGCAACCATCAGAAAATAATTAGGTAGAATGGTGTGATTTTCTCTCGCATGCATTTTCATAACTTAAAACAAAAGGACCTATCTCAAATTCCACCTTTCTTGTAGTATAACAATTGGTATAACAACTGATATAACAAAGAGCCCTATCTGAACATACGCCTCTTCGTGATAACGAAGAATTGTAGTATTTAAGATGGGGAAAATTTTTAAATGAATATAAAATGAAGAAGGTACAATATTGAGATGCGCAAATTTGCTATGTTAAAATATGACCCATTATTTGTCATAACGTTGATATCTCAAAATCGCCAAAAATCGAGATACGCCTTTTCGTCATAAAGCCGACGATATGATTTAGGATATGAATATCCGCTTGCGGTACTATGTAATATATGTATTCTTGAAATAGTGTTGTTGTTGATGTAATTGACATGAGGAACGCTGAGACCACGTTAAAACGCGGATCGAGAAAAAAAGCGTCGGCGCAAAAAATTGGCGCTTCTTATCGCGTAAACATTTTTCTGCAGCTGCAAATTCTAGTTTACTCAGGTCGATGTTACGTTTAGTGATTCACCCACACCATGTCCTTTGAAAGTATCTAGCATGCGTGCTAAATTTTCAAAAAAGTAGGGTAAGTCTAGCAGTTTACTTTAATAAACATTCAGTAATTAGTAAATTAGGTAACTTTAATAAATTGTAACTTTTTTATTTTGCATTTATTTTTAAATTATCCTGTTTCTTGTTCAATATACATACCTATTTAAAAAGTTTACATCATATACCGCAATATTTTTTTTTCTATATTAAGATTAAAACAATACATGTGTTATTTTAATACTACTGTATTTTATAGATGTTTGAATTATTTATTCTATAATTATTATACATACAGAATTTGTTATGATGCATCGTAATATATTTTATCCTTTTTAAAAAGTAGTTAAAATAAATAAAGTAATAAGATAATAATAATAAAAGTAAATAAGATATTTATTAAATTTATTACAAATTTTAATTTAATATATGTTTATTTTTAATATTAAAGCTTCATTCAGAACCTCCCAATTAGTGGAATAAATTGGTGGTTTTAATTACACTTTATACTTTTTAGTTTACGATCCTTCACAATGTCTAAAAAACACAATTAAAATTAATAAAATATCCTAGCAACAACTTGCGGTAGTCTATTGTGTCCATAGAGAACGCATGATATTTAGCTTATAAAACAATAAACTTTTGATTTCTAACCCAAAATTTTTCTTGACTGGTGATAATCAAAAGCCAAAATGACGTTCCTCGCAAATTTTGAATTATAATTAGTGGAAAAGTCAAAAGTTTGTTAACTTTTTCCACTAAATGAGAATTACTACCACTAAGTAATTATGACGTTTTGAATGCTTACATTAAAATTAGGTGTACAAACTTCTACGGCTAATTGAAACTACTAATTTATTCCACCATTTTTAGGTTCTGAATGAAGCTTAAATCTCGAAATTATTAAGAACCAGTACTTTCGACGAAAAATTAAAAAAAAATCTTGGTAAAACAATAAATGAAATTGTCGTTTATTATTGAACAATGAATGCCACTTTGATTTTCTTTTTAAATTTAAATGAGTTTGGAAATTAAATTATATTTATTATACATAATTAATCAAATATTATTTCAAATATTCCAAATAATGATATAATACCTTTCGGTTTCTTTACTAAAGCTATTTAAAAGATAATAATTCAATTATAATTCTTTCGTTTTAAGAAATTCGTTACTATGAGAAATTTCAAACTTACAAAACAAGGCATCAGTTGGACTTTACCATAGAACTTTACTTCCTAAATTTTTATAACGTCATGATAACGAAATTATTTTTCCTCAAGAACATGCGAGACCTTGTCGTTGTTGGGGAAGCTCCTAGTCAGGTGCTAGGGGGAATCCCCTCTAGCACTTTAGCTGGGTCTAAGGAGGATCTCATTGCCTTGACCCTGACTGTAGTCTCTTGGCCAGAGAATTGCACCAAGATGTATAACGATGCCGAATGGGACTACCCTGTCCGTCATACCAGGCACCCCCACTTTCTGTGGTCATGTAACACTAGGTTCTAAAAATGTTGTTTTAAACATATTATTGGGTAAATGAATTTATAGACATAGTTTGACTTTTTATGAAATTTTAGTTTCGGATATACAGGGTCCGGCAATAGTGCGTTGGGTATCTGTAGCTCCTAGAATAAAAAACTTAAGAATTTTGTTTAAGTGCAAATCTAAAGTATGTTCTAGGATGTATTCCAGGAAAATATTTTAACTTTTATAGGGTGACTCAAAAAAGTGTGAGTGGACCGGAATGATTTTTCTTTAAATGGAACATATGTATATTATTGCATTTTTGGCTTCTTTTTAGCCAATCACTTCACATAATCCTAATATATGAGTAAATATATTTCGATAGTTTCAGAGATATTAATAAATAAATAAAAAAATATATTTTTCAGCCTTTCTTAAAAAAAATATTAAAAATACAAGAACTGTCCTGAAATCAAAACTATATTAGATATTTACTTTAAACGATCCGTACTTACTTTGCTATAAATATGGTAATCGTATATCATACAGAATGTTCAATATTTTACGCCAAACTTTCTAGAATATAAAATAATTTTTCTTCGTTTTTTTTAAATGGAACACCCTGTATATTATTTTTTTCAATAGATGGAGATTTAAAAAATGAACATTTTTTGTATTTACAGTGTTTCAAAATGTTTAACAGTTTCGCAGATATTCGCGGTATTTGACACAGATAGTTGATCGAAATTTTTTTATGTAAACCTTATATAAATTATTGCTATTTTCAATTAAAGAGGAAATAATATGAACAAAATAAAGGATAATTCCTCGATTCTAAAAAAAAGAAAGAAAAATCACTGTTCCAGTGTTTCCACGGTCAATGCCACTAATGCCAGTAGTAATATCGCAACTGATACTACTAATGCTACGAAACTGATTCGCGAGCAATGCCCATACCACTAAAGTCGCTACTAATGCCAAATTGTGCTATACTGCTAATGGCACTAATGCGATCGCTTGTATACAACAATGCCATCGCGGTTTACACCTCGCATTAGTATATCACTGATTGGCAAATTAGAGGAAACCAAGAATGTTTTTCTCATTTTATCAGCAAAGTCGCAAAAAGTCGCAGTATTTTATTTTACTGTATGAAAGCCCAATGTTTACTAAGTAAAACGTATATAGACAATATGCTGAATTCTTCGAAATGCGCAACTAAATCTCTTAGTATAATAAAAATGTCACAAATTTAATCAAATTTTCTGAACGCCTAACTTTTAGTGGCAAAAAAAATCGTTAGTATAGAGAATATCAAAATAAATAATATGTTTTTGAAGAATACATACCTGCAGCTTGCTGAGCCATTTTCAATCAAAACAATAATATAAACGTCAAAAGAGCACAAGAACAACAACAATTTATAATTTTAAACATAAAATTTAGCCATTTACCTCTTATCTGTGAGAAGTAACAACTTTGACGTTTCGTTGAAACAAATGAATGCAACTAAACACACCCATAGCAACGCCATTCATGGCCGACATGATTTAACTTATCATTTATCTTTTTTTGGGAAATCTTAAACACATTTGCTTTTTCGAATTTTGATCACCTTTTTCATGCTAATACCCCACCGTGTGGCGTTTTCCATAGTAAATTTTTATCAAAGCCACCTGATCAGTTTTATCTCGTATTTTACCGTTTAGAGAGCCATATGAAATAATCTGCGAAACCATTAAGAATTTTGAAAAAATTTAAATACAAAAAATGTTTATTATTTAATTCTCCATCTAATAAAAAAATAATATACAGGGTGTTCCATTAAAAAAAAACAAAGAAAAATGATTTTATATTTTAGAAAGTTTGGCGTAGAACTTTGAACATCCTGTATGATTTAAGATTACGATATTTATAGCAAAGTTAACTATATACCATCTAAAGTAAATACCTAATATAGTTTTGATTTCAGGACAGTTCTTATTTTTGTAATATTTTTTTAATGAAGATTGAAAAATATAATTTTTTTATTATTTATTAATATCTCTGAAATTTAGCTCTGATGTTAGCGGAACTAGGTCAAAGGGATGCGTATCTAGCTAGCAGGCTAGCCTCTACTAGTGTCAACCTTGGTGCACCAGGGCGCAACTCATTGTATTCTCGTCTACCTTACTACTTCTACATTCGGGGCTCTGTAGAAGTGGACCGACTAACCCTTGCGGTGTAATTGACTTCAAATCCAAGGAGGCAATAGAGAAAGAGGAATATATCCTCTATTATAGATTCGGGACAAGACCGATATCAGGTCTAAGGAGAGACATAAGTGATGGAGAAAATGGAGACAGATTCTCCAGCCTCCACCTCACAGGTACCTCAGCCGTAGACAAGCTCCTGACCTGTGAAGGGCACGGAGGGCTAAACCTCAACCGTGAAAGTGTGTATACCGTCGTAGGAGGTATAGGCCCACTCCTCGGAGGATGAACATCTGTCGTCAGAGGAGGATGGGAAATACCCTGTCCCCCCTACAACAGGAAGATTTCCATCGACTGCATGACAAGCTATAACAAAAGAAAGGGGAACACAACAGTTCTTTAAGGCCGTGGTGATTAACTCTTATTCATTATACATTCTACAACGAAATGATTGAAATGAAACTCTGATAATAATTGAATTATTGTATTAATTTTTAAATGGCTTTAGTGAAGAAACCTAATATTTTTTACACATATTTACCCCTATTACTCATATTATTAGTAATAAGAACATGAAAAATAATTTATTTTTATTCGTCAAGTTATGAGTTTACTGTGATAAATAATTAATTATTAAAACACATGCTTATCGTTCCTTTTGCTATAAATTTTGATTACGTGTTGTTTTTTGTCATGGTATAATGTAAAACTTTTTATCTATAAAAGCAGTGTTCTAGATATGCAAAAATAATCTCATTTAATTTTAATTTTAATTATATGCAATGTCAGAGATGTTTTTAAAAAGTTTATAATATTCTTTTTATTACTGTGGCTCTATATTCCGATGTAAAACCAGGTTAACCAGTTGTTAAACTACGGTGAGAATCGGTTCGTGAAAGATATCGGTAAAATACGGAAGAGTTTGATAAAATAATAAAACAGTAGGAATGTAAAATATTCAGTTTGTAAACCAAATTTTTATGCATCCGAATTCCGGACATTTTCTGGGAAAAACAATAGTCGCACGAAAATCGTAAAAAAATTTAACGATTGTCCGAATTTTGGACGTTTTAATCTGACAACGAGGTACTTACGTAAAATTAACCAAGAAATTCGTAAAAAATATTTGGAAATGGATTTTGGATATACATGGTGCACCAGAAATAAGTGCAGATATTTTAACTGGTAGTATATTTCGGCACCAGGAACACGCCAATGATGTTTTTGCGAAAAAAAATGGTTGAAAATTTTATATTTTTTTTTGACATTTTCCGAGAAATTTTAAAAAACTTTTTAGGCGGCACCAGGAACAGGCCAATGATGTTGTTTTTGCGAAAAAAAATTGTTGAAAATTTTATATTTTTTTTGACATTTTCCGA